ATGATGGATGGCGCTAAATACAGGGAAATTCTTGAGAGAAACCTGTTTCAGTCTTCCAGAGATTTGACACTGGGACGGAGGTTCACCTTCCAGCAGGACAATGACCCTAAGCATTCTGCTAAAGCAACACTTGAGAGGTTGAAGGGGAAACATTTAAATGTATTGGAATGGCCTAGTCAAAGCCTAGACCTCAATCAAATAGAAAATCTGTGGTATGACTTAAAGATTGCTGTACACCAGCGGAACCCATCAAACTTGAAGGAGCTGGAACAGTTTTGCCTTGAAGAATGGGCAAAGATCCCAGTGGCTAGATGTGCCAAGCTTATAGAGACATACCCCAAGAGACTTGCAGCTGTAATTGCTGAAAAAGGTGGCTCTACAAAGTATTGACTTTGGAGGGGTGAATAGTTATGCACGCTCAAGTTCTGTTTTTTTGTCTTATTTCTTGTTTGTTTCACAATAAAAAATATTTTGCATCTTCAAAGTGGTAGCCATGTTGTGTAAATCAAATGATACAAACCCTCAAAAAATCCATTTTAATTCCAGGTTGTAAGGCAACAAAATAGGAAAAATGCCAAGGGGGGGTGAATACTTTCGCAAGCCACTGTAGTCTCAAGTAGCAAAAATCTAAGTCACAAATGCCATTACTGTACTGTAGGTATAGTGTATAGGGTTAGTGTGTACTGTAGGTATAGTGTATAGGATTAGTGTGTACTGTAGATATAGTGTATAGGGATAGTGTGTACTGTAGGTATAGTGTATAGCGTCTCTGGTGAGTGGACCCTGCCCTCACTCCTCTCTAGTGAGTGGACCCTGTCTGAAATACAGTATGTGGTTTAGTATGTAGTACATACGCAGAATCTACTCTCTGAAGGAAAACCAGACAGTATACGTCCCAAATTACCCCCTATGCCCTATAGTGCACTACTTTTGACCTGGGCCCTGGTCAAAAGTAGTGCACTATATAGGGGAAAGAGTGCAATTTGGGACGTATACTGTGCCTTTTGGAAGAGGCTAGCTCATCAGCACATTTCACCCTCAGAAGCCCAAGAGCTGTCGGCCGGGAATAGTATTCACAGGGAGAAAAAATTGAAGTTGTATAAAGTGGTTTCCTGCTCTCTCTGTGTGTGTATGGGTTCTGACTGTAGATTCATACAGTCCTCTGACATCACAGCTAGTCAGCTCCTCTGTATATCACTCTGAGACCTTGTAGGTTGGTCCCGCTTTACTTCCATACATCAACCGTCTTTTCCATACATTGACTGTCTTTTCCATACATTGACTGTCTTTTCCATACATTGACTGTCTTTTCCGTACATCGACTGTCTTTTCTGTACACTGACTGTCTTTTCCATACATCGACTGTCTTTTCCATACATCGACTGTCTTTTCCGTACATTGACTGTCTTTTCTATACATCGACCGTCTTTTCCATACATTGACTGTCTTTTCCGTACATTGATTGCCTTTACCGTACATTGACTGTCTTTTCCGTACATTGACTGTCTTTTCTATACATCGACCGTCTTTTCCGTACATTGACTGTCTTTTCCATACATTGACTGTCTTTTCCATACATCGACCGTCTTTTCTATACATTGACTGTCTTTTCCATACATTGACTGTGATAGGTTCCTTCACATACTCTAGCTTTGTTTGCATCACCATCATGTTCCAATCTAATCCCGTCTGTGTTGCAGTGGCTCTCATGTCTAATCCCGTCTGTGTTGCAGTGGCTCTCATGTCTAATCCCGTCTGTGTTGCAGTGGCTCTCATGTCTAATCCCGTCTGTATCTATGCTTCAGCACACAGTTGTTCGGTTACCATTAAGTAGATTAAATCCGGACCGCGGGAGATCCGCATTATAGCGCAATTGACATTTAAAGGTAATTTCCGATTGAGCTGGCTTATGCAACGTTTACCGTGAATGCGGTCTCTGCGAACGAGGAAACATTGCCTTTAAAAGGTGCATAGACAAAGAGAGGTGATCATATTGAATCAGTTGACAGCTGCTTGGAGAACTCACAGTTGTGTCTGACAGTGTCTGTGTGTCTCCTGCAGGAGTCTGAGTGGACACTGTGGATCTCCACGCGTACGAAGGGGTCCAGGGCCTTGCCGCTCCGCGGGACAGGCAGGTTGGAGCCACTGATAACCTTCACACAAACACAGAGATAAAGACAGAGACAAACAAACAAGATGTTACTGTGTTTCCCCCTGAACACGTGACATTACTGCTGTCTCTGTGACACCAGAGAGGGTTGAACCCAGCATTGGGTAAGACAGACAGACAGGTGGTAGACAGACAGACAGACAGGTGGTAGACAGACAGACAGGTGGTAGACAGACAGACAGACAGATAGACAGGTGGTAGACAGACAGACAGGTGGTAGACAGACAGACAGGTGGTAGACAGACAGACAGGTGGTAGACAGACAGACAGACAGGTGGTAGACAGACAGACAGGTGGTAGACAGACAGACAGACAGATAGACAGGTGGTAGACAGACAGACAGGTGGTAGACAGACAGACAGACAGACAGACAGACAGACAGACAGACAGGTGGTAGACAGACAGACAGACAGACAGACAGACAGGTGGTAGACAGACAGACAGAAGACAGACAGACAGACAGACAGGTGGTAGACAGACAGACAGACAGACAGACAGACAGACAGACAGACAGGTGGTAGACAGACAGACAGACAGACAGACAGACAGACAGACAGACAGACAGACAGACAGACAGTAGACAGACAGACAGGTGGTAGACAGACAGACAGACAGACAGACAGACAGACAGACAGGTGGTAGACAGACAGACAGACAGACAGAAGACAGACAGACAGACAGACAGGTGGTAGACAGACAGACAGACAGACAGACAGACAGACAGACAGACAGACAGACAGACAGACAGACAGACAGACAGACAGACAGACAGACAGACAGACAGACAGACAGACATTGGAATTTCAGTTTCCTTCCTGAATTCCAATTACATTTTTTCTCATTGCTTTTCAATGAGGATGTAAATGTTACAATCCGAGGGGGCATGTATTCTTCTGCCTGCCTGAGGGCCTGGTGCCAGGGATTCATCAGCACTGGGAGTGGGCATGGGGGAGAGAGCCGAGTGAGCGAGGGAGGGAGGAGGGAAGTAGAAGTGTAATTACACCAGTCTGGAGTCTGCCATGCTTATCTGTAGTCCACTCGCTTCTCTTCTCCCCTCCCCTCCCTCCTCCCTCCCTCCTCCCCTCCCTCCCTCCCTCCCTCCCTCCCTCCCTCCCTCCCTATACCCAACCCTGATCAAAGACAAACCTGCATGCAGTTATCTGGACATGCCATGCCTGGCACCGATGGATCTGCCTCACTCAGGAAATAGGAAATAAATGACCCACCAACTGCTGCATAGCGGTGCTATAGGTATTATGATGTTTGATAATCAGTCCGGTAATTACCAGGCTGGTGTTACATGTGTGGGACTGTAAATCAGTTAAATCACCGTGTGATGGACTTATCCATGACTCATTGATTTAGGTAAGGGAACCATGCCTGACTATGGGTTTTTGGGTAATTATACACAATCCCAAGACTCACTCAGATTGTGTCAGAAAAGTCCATTCTCCTGCTCAAGGAAATGAGATTGTTAGGAAATAGATTGGCAACAGTATGCAAAATAGGTCCATAGAGTTGAAAAGGAAGCAGCGTTATTTTCTTACCTATTCTATTTGAATTATTCAATCAAGCAGCATACCTATTTATAAGTCAATATATTGTATGTATAATTCTGATTCCACTGGACTTGAAAGCTCTGCAGGGCTCACAGGGACTTTTCCTGGAGTAGAGTAACAGACCAAAAACACAGGATGACATGAATAAATAAAGGTGTTTGCCTTTTCCTCGGAAAATAGAATAAATGTATTTTTCATGGGCAGGGGGATAGGCTACTTAAGCAATAACGCCCAACGCAATGCGGAGTGCCTGGATACAGCCCTTAGCCGTGGTATATTGGCCATATACCACAAACCCCAGAGGTGCCTTATTGCTATTTATAAACTGGTTACCAACATAATTAGAACAGTAAACACCCGTGGTATGTCGTCTGATCTACCACAGCTTTCAGCCAATCAACATCCAGGACCCAAACTACCAAGTTTATAAATATGCATATTGCATCATAGAAAATCCTAGACCACAACACCAGTGATGTAATACACATCTACACATGAATCGGGATTGAAAATACTTTGGGAATTCTAACAAACTGCATTCCACTGCACTTGACCTTTGAGTGCATTTGGAATGGAATAGTCTTCTGAATGAACCCCACACGCATCTCTCTTTCTCTTGCACTGTCGCAGCTTGTTACACACAGTACAAAAAGGCCCAATGTTTAATTGGGCTCTGTATAGTGACTGTGAGAGTATTCCCCTTGAGTCTGCTAATGTAGACCAGGTGGCCAGAGCATGATAGAGATGTGTGAGTGACAAACTGAAACAGGTCATTGAGTTCCCAGAGATAATGTATTTTAGTCTATCTATGTTTCTATGGAAGTGGATGTGGTAATGTGTCCCTAAAACATATATGCTTAAAACATAGATCACTTGAAAGTGAAGTGACAGAGCCTTCAAATATAGTATCTCCATTGTCTCAGTTGTCTTCGTAATGTGGAAAGAAGCAGTAAGTTAAGAGGTAAAGGCAGAGATGAATGTTCCAGATAGGATGGACACCCCCTCCCCCCACACACACCCCCTCCCCCCTCCACACACCCCCTCCCCACACACACACACCTTCCTCACAACACCCCTCCCCCCCTCCACACACCCTCCACACACACCCTCCCCACTCACACACCCCCTCCCTCCTCACACACCCCCTCCCCCCCTCCACACACCCTCCTCACACACCCCCTCCCCCCCTCCACACACCCTCCACACCCCCTCCCCACCCACCTCCTCCCCACTCACACACCCCCTCCCTCCTCACACACCCCCTCCCCCACTCACAGACACCCTCCCCCCCTCCACACACCCTCCTCACACACCCCCTCCCCCCCTCCACACCCCCTCCCCCCCTCCACACCCCCTCCCCACCCACGCCATCCCCACTCACACGCCCACATCCTTGCATCACACAGTTCCCGTACCTTCAGCAGTAGATGTGCTGGCTTCAGGTTGTGACGGTAACCGTTTGGATTAAAGCCCCACTGCTTGGCCCTGAGGAAGAAGGGTTTGAGGACGTAACCACAGCCACCGTTGTCCTGGAAACGCCCGTTGTTCAGGTCCATGGGCAGGCCCAACGACTGGAAGTTCAGAGCCACTGTAAGAGTCCAGATGACACAATAATAGCATTTCAACACAGGCACAGACAAGACCAGACAGATTACATTCTCCAGCTCTCCGTCAACCACGAACTCACAAACTTACACATTCAATGTATTTCCTTACAGTTCAACATTACCAAGCACAGCCAGGGCTCTTTGAATAGAGTTTGATTTGAAAAGTTATGTTTTGTTTTGTGTCAAATAGAATGACAAAGGGGATTCATCTCTTTCTGCCTTCAAGCAATTAAAATGAAGTTGTCAGAATCTCAATCTCACCAAAGAAACAAAGTTGGCATGAAAGGAATATGAAGTGAATGTCTGTTCCATAAATACATTTTTGTTATTCAAAAGTTTTCGACTCTTCTCAAGTGCAACGTCAAGTTTATTTTACATAACGAATGAATTGAAAATTGTATTCACCCAAGCTCTCACGTTAAACACAGCAGAAATGAACGAAATGATCACACCAAGCGGTCCAAAGACCGTTACATTCTTAATTGGCATTCCAGGAAGTTTTGGTGTGAACATGGCACCCAGTCCACCTACCCAGCTGTGAGCCTACATTCCAGAACTCCTGAGGGTTGTAGTTGGAGGAGAGGGTTCTAGAGCCTGCTGGGTAGATCCTGGTGATGAACCCCATGTTGTGCTGGACGAAATCTGGAGCTGAGAGATGAGAACATGTGGTTGTTTTACTTAAAATTCTTGTACGTTTCTTCTGGATATGAGGGACTGCTATATGAACTCAAATGTCAAATGAAATGAGGAGAAGTGGAAAGACGAGAAAGTACATCGTAACTTAATTAGCATTACATGACATGACAGTTTTGGTCATCATGTGACCTCCTCATCAGATTCGGTGAAGACGAAGGATAAGCATTTGTCACAAACTGCTGATTAAATTGGTACTACACTTTTAGTTCAGGGACAGGGTGTCCTTGCAGCATTATACATAGGCTTTGTGGTTTTAAAAAAATGCCACATCATTGAGCCATTACAGCAAGAAGAGCCTGATAATGGCTGTTGAGTGAAATCCATCAGAACTCATCTATCTCTCACTACATCATTTCCCTCCACTCTATCTCCACACAGTAGTATGATGACCTGTGTACTGATTGTGCTTTGAATTCCAATCTCAACGGTCTCTTTTCATTCAAATCTCAATAGACTCTTTTCATTCCAATCTCAACGGTCTCTTTTCCTTTTCACTAGCAGTATGAATATGAGACACTCAAATCCTGTTTTTACTGCTGCCTGTGTTCAACATTTGATACATTGCCAGATACCTGCAAATGTGGTCCCCCATGTGCAGTTTGAAACACTAATTTGGTCAGTCTTCCAAGGTAAAACATTTTTTTTTTAGAAACAATCTTCAACAAACCTGAGGTCTTGACCAGCTTGTGAGCCTTCTTCTCCCCCAGAGAGGTATTCTCATAGTACTGCTGGTGTTCTCTGGCGTGGCCGAAGCTGTGGAACTTCACTGACTTGGTGTAGACCACCAGGTTAGACAGAGTCTCAGCAACTACTGCTGCCTTCTTCTTCTGTGGAGGGAGGGAGGTTAACGTTAGGGTTGTGGCTAGGGTTAGGGTTGAGCTGGGGTGTGGACATGAAGCTATAGGGTTAGGGTTAGGATCAAGGTTAGGGAAAGGACAATCTCTGCATATGTCTAACCTCACTGACCCTGCTTTAGTGCTATAGGGAGACATACAGGAACAGTTTATCTGTGTCCTGTAGTCTAGTATACCAGTGTATAATGCCTGGTATCGTACCTCATTAAGAACCCTGACTTACTTTCTTCCCTGACCGTTTCAATTTGGAATGGTGCTTTGTTTTGAGATTAGGCTCCTCTTCTTCATCTTCATCATCATCATCATCATCCTCTTCCTCACTGTCTTCCCCCTCTGAGTCTCTCTCTCTCCTGTCCTCTGAGTCTCTCTCTCTCCTGTCCTCTGAGTCTCTCTCTCTCCTGTCCTCTGAGTCTCTCTCTCTCCTTCTCCTGTCCTCTGTCTCTGGCTCACTCTGAGGACTGAGCTTTTTGTTCTTGATCAGGATCTTATATTTCAGCTCCTGTCAACCCAGAGACATAATCCACATATGTGATCTGTCTCAGCGGGAAACAGACAGTCAAGAAAACGTCTCAGAAAGGAAATGTTAAAGTTTCCAGTTCTGGTGGCATGCGTTGAAACGTGTGGCCTTGTCGTGGCTTTCTTTTGCTTACTATTAATTAATGGACTTGTTTTCTACAAATTGTAAGTAGTAAACCCCATATTAAGGTGTGGGACCTTCATTGTATGACAAGAAAAAACAAGCAGCTATATTACACTCTAACAGATGGCATAATCTGTCCGTCCACAATTCGCCTGTGGGAACATCTAAAACCATTTTGCTAATAATATATTATGACAATGGATTAAAAGCCATTGCTCCTACAGCTACAGTATTCTATTTGACTGTTTACATTCTGTTGTTATATTTACTTTTTTCTTTATTTTATTTTTCATTACCCACCGTAACACATCAAGTCTACTAACTAAACTGTAAACGTCTGAAAATGGTTACTTATTTTATGTTTTTATGTTTGAATTTTTTTAACCGGAGAGGGAGGGCTGGGGTTAGGGAGGGCTGGGGGTTAGGGAGGGCTGGGGGGTTAGGGAAGAGGGAGGGTGAGGGAGAGGGAGGGCTGGGGGTTTAGGGAGGGCTGGGGGTTAGGGAGGGCTGGGGGTTAGGGAGAGGGAGGGCGGGGGTTAGGGAGAGGAGGGGGCTGGGGGTTAGGGAGGTGGGAACCGGAAAGGAGGGCTGGGGCTAGGGGCTAGGGAGAGGGAGGGGGGGCTGGGGGCTAGGGATGAGGGAGGCTGGGGGCTAGGGAGAGGGAGGGGCGGGGGCTAGGGAGAGGAGGGTGGGGGCTGGGGGCTAGGGAGAGGGAGGCTGGGGGCTAGGGAGAGGAGGGCTGGGGGCTGCTGGGGCTGGGGGCTAGAGAGAGGGAGGGCTGGGGGCTAGAGAGAGGGAGGGATGGGGGCTAGGGAGAGGGAGGGCTGGGGGCTAGGGAGGAGGGAGGGTGGGGGCTAGGGAGGGCTGGGGGCTGGGGGCTAGAGAGAGGGAGGGCTGGGGGCTAGGGAGAGGGAGGGCTGGGGGCTGGGGGCTAGAGAGAGGGAGGGCTGTGGGCTAGGGAGAGGGAGGGCTGGGGGCTAGGAGAGGGAGGGCTGGGGGCTGGGGGCTAGGGAGAGGAGGGCTGGGGGCTAGGGAGAGGGAGGGCTGGGGGTTAGGGAGAGGGAGGGCTGGGGGCTAGGGAGAGGGAGGGCTGGGGGCTGGGGGGCTAGAGAGAGGGAGGGCTGGGGCTAGAGAGAGGGAGGGCTGGGGGCTAGGGAGAGGGAGGGCTGGGGGCTGGGGGCTAGGGAGAGGGAGGGCTGGGGGCTAGAGAGAGGGGGTAATGGTTTTACAGGGAGGGATGGGGGCTAGGGAGAGGGGTAATGGTTTACAGGGAGGGCTGGGGGCTGGGGAGAGGGAGGGCTGGGGGCTAGAGAGAGGGAGGGCTGGGGGTAGAGAGAGGGAGGGCTGGGGGCTAGGGAGAGGGAGAGGGCTGGGGGCTAGGGCTAGGGGCGTGGGGGCTAGAGAGAGGGAGGGCTGGTGGGCTAGGGAGAGGGAGGGCTGGGGGCTAAGGGAGGGGGGCTGGGGGCTAGGGAGAGAGGAGGGCTGGGGTTAGGGAGAGGGAGGGCTGGGGCTAGGGGAAGGGGGCTGGGGGCTAGAGAGAGGGAGGGCTGGGGGTAGGGAGAGGGAGGGCTGGGGGCTAGGAGAGGAGGGGGGCTGGGGGCTAGGGAGAGGGAGGGCTGGGGGTTAGAGAGAGGGAGGGCTGGGGGCTAGAGAGAGGGAGGCTGGGGGCTAGGGAGAGGGAGGGCTGGGGGCTAGAGAGAGGGAGGGCTGGGGGCTAGGGAGAGGGAGGGCTGGGGGCTAGGGAGAGGGAGGGCTGGGGGCTAGAGAGAGGGAGGGCTGGGGGCTAGGGAGAGGGAGGGCTGGGGGCTAGGGAGAGGGAGGGCTGGGGGGCTAGAGAGAGGGAGGGCTGGGGGGCTAGAGAGAGGGAGGGCTGGGGGCTAGGGAGAGGGAGGGCTGGGGGTTAGGGAGAGGGAGGGCTGGGGGCTGGGGAGGGCTGGGGGCTGGGGGCTAGAGAGAGGGAGGGCTGGGGGCTAGAGAGAGGGAGGGCTGGGGGCTAGGGAGAGGGAGGGCTGGGGGCTAGAGAGAGGGAGGGCTGGGGGCTAGAGAGAGGGAGGGCTGGGGGCTAGGGAGAGGGAGGGCTGGGGGCTAGGGAGAGGGAGGGCTGAGGGCTAGGAAGAGGGAGGGCTGGGGGCTTGGGGCTGGGGGCTAGAGAGAGGGAGGGCTGGGGGCTAGAGAGAGGGAGGGCTGGGGGCTAGAGAGAGGGAGGGCTGGGGGCTAGAGGAGGGAGGGCTGGGGGCTAGGGAGAGGGAGGGCTGGGGGCTAGGGAGAGGGAGGGCTGGGGGCTAGGAAGAGGGAGGGCTGGGGGCTTGGGGCTGGGGGCTAGAGAGAGGGAGGGCTGGGGGCTAGAGAGAGGGAGGGCTGGGGGCTAGGGAGAGGGAGGGCTGGGGGCTAGGGAGAGGGAGGGCTGGGGGCTAGGGAGGGCTGGGGGCTAGGAGAGGGAGGGCTGGGGGCTAGGGAGAGGGAGGGCTGGGGGTTAGGGAGAGGGAGGGCTGGGGGTTAGGGAGAGGGAGGGCTGGGGGCTAGGGAGAGGGAGGGCTGGGGGCTGGGGGTTAGGGAGAGGGAGGCTGGGGGCTGGGGGGTTAGAGAGAGGGAGGGCTGGGGGGTAGAGAGAGGGAGGGCTGGGGGCTAGGGAGAGGGAGGGCTGGGGGCTAGGGAGAGGGAGGGCTGGGGGCTAGGGAGAGGGAGGGCTGGGGGCTGGGGGCTAGGGAGAGGGAGGGCTGGGGGCTAGAGAGAGGGGTAATGGTTTACAGGGAGGGATGGGGGCTAGGGAGAGGGGTAATGGTTTACAGGGAGGGCTGTGGCTAGGGAGAGGGGTAATGGTTTACAGGGAGGGCTGTGGGCTGGGGGCTGGGGGCTAGGGAGAGGGAGGGCTGGGGGCTAGGGGCTAGGGAGAGGGGTAATGGTTTACAGGGAGGGCTGTGGCTAGGGAGAGGGGTAATGGTTTACAGGGAGGGCTGTGGCTAGGGAGAGGGGTAATGGTTTACAGGGAGGGCTGTGGCTAGGGAGAGGGGTAATGGTTTACAGGGAGGGTTTCTGTGGGTCCTGCTTGTAGTTAAACATCCATGGGTTTTTATCAACAGGAAAGATAACAATGACGCCATTAATATAACGTTCTGAAAAACAATGGCGGCACCAGCTATTCTCTCATCAAATATTCCAGCTGTCTTGATACCCTAGTAAGAAACCATATTGATATAGCAATGCTCCAAGAAACACACCTACTCCAAAAGGACGGCACATAGAATGCAGAACCATTTGGGGCTAAAGGTGTAATCATAATGATACATAAGTAACTAAAAATCACCATCCTTGGGTAAAGGTGAAGACCTTGAAGGCAGAATCACTTTCCTTAACCCCCTAGAGTCGATGCGGAAAACTACTCTGAACAAAAATATAAACGCAACATGTAAAGTGTTGGTCCCATGTTTCATGAGCTGAAATAAAAGATCCCAGAAATGTTCCATATGCACAAAAAGATTATTTCTCTCAAATTTTCTGCAGAAATGTGTTTACATCCATGTTAGTGAGCATTTCTCCTTTGCCAAGATAATCCATTAACCTGACAGGTGTGCCATATCAAGAAGCCGTTTAAACAGCATGTTCATTACACAGGTGCACCTTGTGCTGGGGACAATAAAAGGCCACTCTAAATTGTGCAGTTTTGTCACACAACACAAAGCCACAGATGTCTACATTTTTGAGGGAGCGTGCAATTGGCATAATGACTGCAGGAATGTCCACCAAAGCTGTTGCCAGATAATTTTATATTCATTTCTCTACCATAAGTTGCCTCAAACATTGTTTTAGAGAATTTGGCAGTACGTCCAACCAGCCTCACAACCGCAGACCACGTGTAACCACGCCAGCCCAGGACCTCCACATCCGGCTTCTTCACCTGCGGGATCATCTCAGACCAGTCACCCAGACAGCTGATGAAACTGTGGGTTTGCACAACCGAAGAATTTCTGCACAAACTGTCAGAAACCGTCTCAGGGAAGCTCATCTGCGTGCTTGTCATCCTCACCAGGGGCTTGACCTGACTGCAGTTCAGTGTCGTAACTGACTTCAGTGGGCAAATGCTCACCTTCGATGGCCACTGGCACACTGGAGAAGTGTGCTCTTCACTGGATGAATCCTGGTTTCAACTATACCAGGCAGATGGCAGACAGCGTCGTGTGAGCAAGCGGTTTGCTGATGTCAACATTGTGAACAGAGTGCCCCATAGTGGCGGTGGGGTTATGGTATGGGCAAGCATAAGCTACGGACAACGAACACAATTACATTTTATCTATGGCAAATTGAATGCACAGAGATACCGTGACGACATCCTGAGGACCATTGTCGTGCCATTCATCCGCCACCATCACCTCATGTTTCAGCATGATAATGCACGGCCCCATGTCGCAAGGATCTGTACACCATTCCTGAAAGCTGAAAATGTCCCAGTTCTTCCATGGCCTGCATACTTACCAGACATGTCACCCATTGAGCATGTTTGGGATGCTCTGGATCAACGTGTACGACAGCGCGTTCCAGTTCCCGCCAATATCCAGCAACTTCGCACAGTCATTGAAGAGGAGTGGGACAACATTCCACAGGCCACAATCAACAGCCTGATCAACTCTATGCGGAAGGAGATGTGTCGCGCTGCATGAGGCAAATGGTGGTCACACCAGATACTGACTGGTTTTCTGATCCACACCCCTACTTTTTTTTAAAGGTATCTCAAATCAAATCAAACTTTATTTGTCACATGCGCCGAATACAACAGGTGTAGACCTTACCGTGAAATGCTTACTTACAAGCCCTTA